TCGTCCAGCTTCATCTGTTTCACAAGAAGCGTTCCATGAACAGGATTACTTACTTTGATTCTTTGATCAAAACTTTCTATGTTTCTGTATCTGGTACACTGCAAGCCTTTGTTGCAGTAGCCAACATTTTCCTTCTTGAGATCTTCGGGGTCAGTGACTCTCCATTGAAGCTCCAGAAAAGTTCCATTTTGGAGGACCGATTGCAGGTCGGGACATTCCAGTGCGATCTGCTCGTCAGGGCATTCTGTTCGCTGACTGTCAGCTAGAACACCTGACAAGAGAGAAACGATTTCACTTAATGATAGAACGTCCAAATATTTCAGTGATATCCTTCGAAATTAACAGATATGTCCAGTATTAGTCAAGCTCGGTGTGTTTATACTGTAAGACACCGACCGAATTTTGTTCGTCGATTTATGCCGCGTATCTCGGGGATATAACGATTAGCAACTGGGGCATGTCAGACAAATATGCTTTTTAACAAACTTGTCGAAATGCCTGCAAAAATAGAAATTCGGCGAGATTTCGGGTCCTTTATTAATCAGAATACTTTGCCGATGTTATCGGCGAGATTTCGGGTCCTTTACTATACAGACAGAATTACCTCGCGGAGAAAGCGGTTCTGCATAACAACGTTTAGGTAGTTTCCCAAATTTATCAATGACGTAATTTTCACAAATTGACAACACAGCGTAAATTTTGTCGCTCTGTATATTGCAACAGTCAATACGTGTCAGAGACGATATTTACATCCGAGCTAGTGTATATACGCGACCAAAATAGTCTTATCGAAGCTCGAAGCGAATCTAGGTTTTATATTCCTGAGGTTTCGGCTTCAATTGTCTCCAGTCAGAGACAGACTGGCACAATCAAATATTTGAAGTTTTCTGCTGTTCATTGACCTGGCACATTATAATCGATTTCTAACGTATCACAGTTTCGCTAGCATCGGTGATATGGCAAGATATTCTAACTTTAATGCTTGTATATGTACGTGCCGCTGAATTTTTAACCATGAAACGTCTGATTTATTCGGAACGGCAGACATTAATATGAAAAAAAGATCACGGTTACGTTCACAAATGAACTTACCCGCATACACAGCCACGCACAGACTGTAAATTAATAGAAACTTTCCAGTGAAAAGTCTTTGTAAGACATCGCTCTCGCTATAAAAAGCCATAACTTGCTTTCAAACTTGCTTTCCGTACCAAAAATTCGCGTCTAACGTATGATTCACTGGAAAGCACACGTGGCTTTATTGTTAGCCTTCGTTGTTACATTTTTTTGCTCTTTGCACACGTCTATATTTAGTTATTGCTTACTCAGGTCTACTCAGCGATAACGAAGAAAATTGATTAAGATGATTTTGAAAATAAGTAATCGAGTTTTGAAACAATAGGTCATTGACAGCCGGGAGAAAAAGGTGTTTTGCAGAGCAAATATCATTTAAATAATGTTTCTCTGTTTGTATTTGGAAACTCGCACCGGATTTCGTATTGAAATAACAAAATTGAAGCTGGAGATAACAGCCTTGATTAAGTCATTTAGTAAAAAGAGAAAAGCAGAAGTGGGAGAATATTTTGCACGTATTTTTTGAGTGACATGCCTAGTGCGCGCTTGGCTGCGCTCGAAAAAACTTTGTTGAGTATAACAGCAGGTTAACGAAAGTTCAATTCTTAATTGTATGATAAGTTTCTCCCTTGTTTTATGACAGGATTGTTTGTGCAAATAAAACTGATATATTGATCGGCGGCAAATAACTCACATACAGCTTTGGATCAGACACCGAGAAAGCTACGGAGAGTTCAGTTTTAACTCTTGCCGAAAGCAATATTTCTAAGCGAGTAATTGTTTTATCAGAGAAAGATTCCTCTTTTGTGGGTTGCTATGTATCTTCTTTGGACATTTGGTACCGAGATTTTGATGCACTTGTCTTGAAAAACTACTCTGCAACTTAGCAAAAATAACGATTGTTGCGAATGACAGACATTCAGTCGTATCCAAATAACTTGGTAAGACCGAACGGTCAGCCAAGGTCACTTCATTCATCTGTCACTTACTGGCCGTCACTGGCATCATAATGGAGAAAGGGGGTTTTTCCCTTGCTCTCTATGGGAGCTTTTTATTCGAGTAAATATTCCGGTTTGAAATCTTTCCTGGTATTCAATAAAGTTTGTATGGATGTATTTATGTATGTATTTATGTATCATACGTCCCGCTTCCCGCGGCTCGGGCCGCGGTTTCACTCGAAATGTCTACCCATAGCAAGATGAGATGAACATCTTATGACAAACTCTGGCGAAGCCGGCAACAGAAGGTTGCCGAAAATTTAGTTTTCAACAAAGTTTTCATAGATCAATTGTATTATAATTTTTTTAGATCAGTGTCAAAATAGTTTTCAATATTTTATAAACACATTTTATCCAACAAGTGTATAAAGTTAAGTAGAATTCTTGATCTCCGACCGACCTAAGAGCTGCCTCAATGAGGAAATGTGAACTGCTGGCCGGCATTTTGAACTACTTTATGCTTCCAGGTCCTGTTACGAGTAATGCACGGGGATGTTTTGATACTAATACATTCATTTCCTTATTCTACATGTATCTTAACAAGGGCTGTCTAAACCATTCACGCGAGTCAAGTGTCAATGCAGACAGAACAATCAGAGACCAGCCTTCAAAGATCTTCAACGCGGAAAAGATTTTTTCATCAATTTTTTCCGTTATGTTTCCGCGTCACTTGTTAGAAGTTGGATGGTTGTCCGAAACTAATATTCCAAAAGGGAAAATAGCCTTTTTTTTGTACAAGCCAGAGTCTAAATCATAATTATAAACAGAAATATGTAATATTAGACTTTGCAGAAACTGCTTTCATTGCACATTCCTTCGTTTTATCAATACACTTTTTATGCCTCCTGAACAAACAAACTGCATCCGGCTTTTTCCCTTTGTTTGACAAGTTTCTTTACACAATCAGTAAAATTTACTTTTTACTGATGTAATTTAGGTATTCTATACAAACCCTTTCATTGATTAATCGGTCATCTTTGTGTACTTGAGACTTATGGCAGCATCAATAGGAATAATGCAGCAAATACTGACTATTCACATGTAATGCAAAGGGAAGTAAAGCATTTTGTCAAGCTCCCACCTTCAGCGCCCGACAGATCGATGGTTACTGACATTCTATGACAGGATTCATTTCCTCCACGGCAGATGTTTCACTTTAAATACCGCCCTCTCAACCTATTAGACCCTATAGCCATTAAAAACTACGAATGTTTCTACTTATCAGCTATGCGCTACGGTATTACGTTTTACATGTATTTGAACATCCAAACAGGTATTTAAACCAAACTTTCATTACTCTAAATTGATTGAATTTCCCTGCCTGTAGAAGCAAGTACAAAATTCTATTCTTCTGAAAAACATGCTGCTAGGGTAAGGAAATGTAAGGACAAAACTTGGAAACACCTACCACATAAAAAGACGAGAAAAGCGGAAACTGTGAGTGTTCTTTGAGACGTTTTGCGAACTGTATCCATCTTTAAATCAGTCTTCACAACGTAGAAAGGCAGCTGGACTGAGCGTCACACTCCAGGAAAGCTCTTTTAAATCCATAAAAAAATTATTTCGATTCGGCGACGACACGAACTGGGTATTTTCCCCCTGTATTCTAGAACCAACCTACGGCACTCAGGGAATCTGGCAAACGTATTTTCAGTCTTTTGGGAAAGTAACTTTCAGTTTCTTTGCTATTTCATTATTTCCTTGTATTTGAGCTCTATCTGAGAGAATGCTGTTATTAACGTGCATTGATCATAAGTCTTAACAAAGGATATCTTTCTCTCTTTCATTTTTACAACTTAACTGTGGAATAAAAGTTTCATCGCATTCAAATTGTTCCCTGTTAGAATAAACGCGTTTTGTCTTAGTATCCGTGGATCCGACATTATTTGCGGGGCGAACAACTTAATTTGGACGGTCAAATTTTGACATGACAAGGTCAACCGTGGAGATAAAAAAGTAATGCACATTGCACGCAGACAGTGAAAAATGATATATTTTTTTTTCTATCGCTTTAGTTTTGGTTCAACGACAGTCAGTTGAAAGCCGCTCTTACACTAGTGATAAAGCTTAGAGTGTATCTTGCTGACAGCCCTGTGCTTTCGGTTTTCAGCATTGCATAAATATGGCGTGTTTGAGTTAAAACAGAGAGACCCGTACAATCTGACAAATATTTACATCCATAAGGGGATGAACTTTTGATCACTTTAAGCTGAACTAGCGCTATTGTTATCTTCTGGAAAGACTTGGTTTTCTTATAAAAAAACAACTGAATAGCTTTTATTTTTACTTGTTCTCGGTGCGACAAAGTCCACATCCCGAGTTGGTGTAACTAAACGTCAACTGCATGGTCGTTCAGTTGTAGGGAAACAAAGTATGGGAATCTTTTTGTCTTAGCCTACTAGACATACACATTCTATTTTTATCTATTTTTAAGCCCTACAAAAAGGTTCTGTATTTTTTATTGTCCTCGAAGAAATGTCGATTTTTATTTCTAGTTGTAAAACGAAAGAGAAAAACGAAATAGCGTTTTTTGCATCACTACTAAGTAGCGTTTCTTTACTTGCAAAGGCTTTGTAGAAACAACAGCAATGTGCCTGATTCAAGTTTGAAAATCGAAGCTCCGACAGTTTTCCCTTCAACATGACGTTGCTAGGATACGTCATGTTGCCGTAGCAACGATCTGACGCAAGAACTTAAAACTTAAAACTTCCCGGTGCCTTTTTCCACAATTCCAGTGTCTGATTCAACAGGTTTTTTTTCTAAACAATGATGACCTCTTGGGTGTATTATGGCGAAAAAGACACTTTTCTCTAAAGACAGCTTACGATCAATTACTATGTAACCTCAACGTTAACGAGTGTCAAAAGAGAGGATAAGAATTATGAGAAAACGAAACAGGGTATAATAGTTTCCTTTACTTTTATTGTGGATAAATATATCTTTACATTCACACGGAATTACTCCGTTCAAGACATAACACGCCATCATTTAATGATACAGTACATTACAAAGTTGAGTTGAGTTAAAAAAAAATATTGACTTGTTATGGTTTCTTTAAGGAAAAGCTAACAAGTCAAAATTCGCTAATTTAAAGTTTCATCAGCAATTGTACAAATTAAATTTTGTATACGTAAATTATTTTTTATACATATTATGATGCTTTCATATGTCATGTTTCACAATTATTTGCAGGATTATCTGTATAACGCATGCGATTACAACGCTTACATCATTCTTATTGCAGACTACTTTTGGAGAATCTTACATAAGCTACATTGAGGAAAAAGACTTGTATATTATGCATTATTTATCGCAAATCTAAATTATTGAAAAAGGACGTGAAAAAAAATATTTAAACTACTTTTTTCTTGAATAAAGAAAGATTATTGAGTTATGCTCTGTTGTATTGTCATTGCTTCTCCCAGAACATAAAGACTTGCACATCACATCAAACATACAAAACTATCGAGGGTCGAGGCTCTGGTCAAGAACTCAGTAAGGCTAGGATTAAGCTAGTTTCAGTTCTGCGCTTTCCAAGGCCTTCACGGCGAATAGCGAAGCGCGCGAGTGACGTCATAACTCAGACAAACAAAACGGAATTGTGGAGGATTTGACGCTTTTTCAAGCGTGTAAGCAAGTGTTCCTAGAACAATTTTTAAAACAAAAATTTGGTGTTCATTTTCCTCCTGTTTCTCTCAGAAAACGCCTATGTTGTCTGACTCTCGCGTGGTTCCAATAATTTGCATTCTATTTTTAGACTTCGCGCGCTTCCTTATTGGTTTCGGTAACGTCACCCTTGCGAACAGTCCCTCTGTCACATGACTCAAAACGAACTGACCGCGTGGAAATGGGAAGAGGCAGCCTTACGATATCGCCGAGACAATATCCTGGAAACAGGAAAAGTCTAACAGATTCCGTAGGGCGCCATCACTAAGCTAATCACGACACTGAATGCTATCAACCAGCTGTTCTGTATACTGTAAGGTCCTGGGTTGTTTCCAGTCGATCCTGTCGTGTCCGCGGCAGATGTTGCCGTTGCCCTGGTTGTGACAGTTGTTCGGTTGACATCATCTACAGCCGCAAAACAAAGAATGTAATAGTTGGTTTAATGGTCAAAATCAGACATTGCATATAACTTCAAGCGTCAAGCTTGTTTAAGCGTTGACAATTTCTAAGCGATGATCAATCATGAACGGGGACACTCGCGATTCGCGTTCTACCGCTAAAACAAAAATCGCGGTCACGGGTGGAATTCCACGTTAAATGTATTTACCCCTTTTCCTTGCCTAACTAAGGCCCCGTGCACACTACGCCAGAGGAATTTAAAAACGGAGCTTTCTCTCTCAAAACACATCAAATGTTTTCCGTCCACACTACGGCAGAGGAATTTGAAAACGGAGCTTTCTCTCTGAAAACACATCAAATGTTTTCCGTCCACACTACGGCAGAGGAATTTAAAAACGGAGCTTTCTCTCTGAAAACACATCAAATGTTTTCCGTCCACACTACGGCAGAGGAATTTAAAAACGGAGCTTTCTCTCTGAAAACACATCAAATGTTTTCCGTCCACACTACGGCAGAGGAATTTAAAAACGGAGCTTTCTCTCTGAAAACACATCAAATGTTTTCCGTCCACACTACGGCAGAGGAATTTAAAAACGGAGCTTTCTCTCTGAAAACACATCAAATGTTTTCCGTCCACACTACGGCAGAGGAATTTAAAAACGGAGCTTTCTCTCTGAAAACACATCAAATGTTTTCCGTCCACACTACGGCAGAGGAATTTAAAAACGGAGCTTTCTCTCTGAAAACACATCAAATGTTTTCCGTCCACACTACGGCAGAGGAATTTAAAAACGGAGCTTTCTCTCTGAAAACACATCAAATGTTTTCCGTCCACACTACGGCAGAGGAATTTAAAAACGGAGCTTTCTCTCTGAAAACACATCAAATGTTTTCCGTCCACACTACGGCAGAGGAATTTAAAAACGGAGCTTTCTCTCTGAAAACACATCAAATGTTTTCCGTCCACACTACGGCAGAGGAATTTAAAAACGGAGCTTTCTCTCTGAAAACACATCAAATGTTTTCCGTCCACACTACGGCAGAGGAATTTAAAAACGGAGCTTTCTCTCTGAAAACACATCAAATGTTTTCCGTCCACACTACGGCAGAGGAATTTAAAAACGGAGCTTTCTCTCTGAAAACACATCAAATGTTTTCCGTCCACACTACGGCAGAGGAATTTAAAAACGGAGCTTTCTCTCTGAAAACACATCAAATGTTTTCCGTCCACACTACGGCAGAGGAATTTAAAAACGGAGCTTTCTCTCTGAAAACACATCAAATGTTTTCCGTCCACACTACGGCAGAGGAATTTAAAAACGGAGCTTTCTCTCTGAAAACACATCAAATGTTTTCCGTCCACACTACGGCAGAGGAATTTAAAAACGGAGCTTTCTCTCTGAAAACACATCAAATGTTTTCCGTCCACACTACGGCAGAGGAATTTAAAAACGGAGCTTTCTCTCTGAAAACACATCAAATGTTTTCCGTCCACACTACGGCAGAGGAATTTAAAAACGGAGCTTTCTCTCTGAAAACACATCAAATGTTTTCCGTCCACACTACGGCAGAGGAATTTAAAAACGGAGCTTTCTCTCTGAAAACACATCAAATGTTTTCCGTCCACACTACGGCAGAGGAATTTAAAAACGGAGCTTTCTCTCTGAAAACACATCAAATGTTTTCCGTCCACACTACGGCAGAGGAATTTAAAAACGGAGCTTTCTCTCTGAAAACACATCAAATGTTTTCCGTCCACACTACGGCAGAGGAATTTAAAAACGGAGCTTTCTCTCTGAAAACACATCAAATGTTTTCCGTCCACACTACGGCAGAGGAATTTAAAAACGGAGCTTTCTCTCTGAAAACACATCAAATGTTTTCCGTCCACACTACGGCAGAGGAATTTAAAAACGGAGCTTTCTCTCTGAAAACACATCAAATGTTTTCCGTCCACACTACGGCAGAGGAATTTAAAAACGGAGCTTTCTCTCTGAAAACACATCAAATGTTTTCCGTCCACACTACGGCAGAGGAATTTAAAAACGGAGCTTTCTCTCTGAAAACACATCAAATGTTTTCCGTCCACACTACGGCAGAGGAATTTAAAAACGGAGCTTTCTCTCTGAAAACACATCAAATGTTTTCCGTCCACACTACGGCAGAGGAATTTAAAAACGGAGCTTTCTCTCTGAAAACACATCAAATGTTTTCCGTCCACACTACGGCAGAGGAATTTAAAAACGGAGCTTTCTCTCTGAAAACACATCAAATGTTTTCCGTCCACACTACGGCAGAGGAATTTAAAAACGGAGCTTTCTCTCTGAAAACACATCAAATGTTTTCCGTCCACACTACGGCAGAGGAATTTAAAAACGGAGCTTTCTCTCTGAAAACACATCAAATGTTTTCCGTCCACACTACGGCAGAGGAATTTAAAAACGGAGCTTTCTCTCTGAAAACACATCAAATGTTTTCCGTCCACACTACGGCAGAGGAATTTAAAAACGGAGCTTTCTCTCTGAAAACACATCAAATGTTTTCCGTCCACACTACGGCAGAGGAATTTAAAAACGGAGCTTTCTCTCTGAAAACACATCAAATGTTTTCCGTCCACACTACGGCAGAGGAATTTAAAAACGGAGCTTTCTCTCTGAAAACACATCAAATGTTTTCCGTCCACACTACGGCAGAGGAATTTAAAAACGGAGCTTTCTCTCTGAAAACACATCAAATGTTTTCCGTCCACACTACGGCAGAGGAATTTAAAAACGGAGCTTTCTCTCTGAAAACACATCAAATGTTTTCCGTCCACACTACGGCAGAGGAATTTAAAAACGGAGCTTTCTCTCTGAAAACACATCAAATGTTTTCCGTCCACACTACGGCAGAGGAATTTAAAAACGGAGCTTTCTCTCTGAAAACACATCAAATGTTTTCCGTCCACACTACGGCAGAGGAATTTAAAAACGGAGCTTTCTCTCTGAAAACACATCAAATGTTTTCCGTCCACACTACGGCAGAGGAATTTAAAAACGGAGCTTTCTCTCTGAAAACACATCAAATGTTTTCCGTCCACACTACGGCAGAGGAATTTAAAAACGGAGCTTTCTCTCTGAAAACACATCAAATGTTTTCCGTCCACACTACGGCAGAGGAATTTAAAAACGGAGCTTTCTCTCTGAAAACACATCAAATGTTTTCCGTCCACACTACGGCAGAGGAATTTAAAAACGGAGCTTTCTCTCTGAAAACACATCAAATGTTTTCCGTCCACACTACGGCAGAGGAATTTAAAAACGGAGCTTTCTCTCTGAAAACACATCAAATGTTTTCCGTCCACACTACGGCAGAGGAATTTAAAAACGGAGCTTTCTCTCTGAAAACACATCAAATGTTTTCCGTCCACACTACGGCAGAGGAATTTAAAAACGGAGCTTTCTCTCTGAAAACACATCAAATGTTTTCCGTCCACACTACGGCAGAGGAATTTAAAAACGGAGCTTTCTCTCTGAAAACACATCAAATGTTTTCCGTCCACACTACGGCAGAGGAATTTAAAAACGGAGCTTTCTCTCTGAAAACACATCAAATGTTTTCCGTCCACACTACGGCAGAGGAATTTAAAAACGGAGCTTTCTCTCTGAAAACACATCAAATGTTTTCCGTCCACACTACGGCAGAGGAATTTAAAAACGGAGCTTTCTCTCTGAAAACACATCAAATGTTTTCCGTCCACACTACGGCAGAGGAATTTAAAAACGGAGCTTTCTCTCTGAAAACACATCAAATGTTTTCCGTCCACACTACGGCAGAGGAATTTAAAAACGGAGCTTTCTCTCTGAAAACACATCAAATGTTTTCCGTCCACACTACGGCAGAGGAATTTAAAAACGGAGCTTTCTCTCTGAAAACACATCAAATGTTTTCCGTCCACACTACGGCAGAGGAATTTAAAAACGGAGCTTTCTCTCTGAAAACACATCAAATGTTTTCCGTCCACACTACGGCAGAGGAATTTAAAAACGGAGCTTTCTCTCTGAAAACACATCAAATGTTTTCCGTCCACACTACGGCAGAGGAATTTAAAAACGGAGCTTTCTCTCTGAAAACACATCAAATGTTTTCCGTCCACACTACGGCAGAGGAATTTAAAAACGGAGCTTTCTCTCTGAAAACACATCAAATGTTTTCCGTCCACACTACGGCAGAGGAATTTAAAAACGGAGCTTTCTCTCTGAAAACACATCAAATGTTTTCCGTCCACACTACGGCAGAGGAATTTAAAAACGGAGCTTTCTCTCTGAAAACACATCAAATGTTTTCCGTCCACACTACGGCAGAGGAATTTAAAAACGGAGCTTTCTCTCTGAAAACACATCAAATGTTTTCCGTCCACACTACGGCAGAGGAATTTAAAAACGGAGCTTTCTCTCTGAAAACACATCAAATGTTTTCCGTCCACACTACGGCAGAGGAATTTAAAAACGGAGCTTTCTCTCTGAAAACACATCAAATGTTTTCCGTCCACACTACGGCAGAGGAATTTAAAAACGGAGCTTTCTCTCTGAAAACACATCAAATGTTTTCCGTCCACACTACGGCAGAGGAATTTAAAAACGGAGCTTTCTCTCTGAAAACACATCAAATGTTTTCCGTCCACACTACGGCAGAGGAATTTAAAAACGGAGCTTTCTCTCTGAAAACACATCAAATGTTTTCCGTCCACACTACGGCAGAGGAATTTAAAAACGGAGCTTTCTCTCTGAAAACACATCAAATGTTTTCCGTCCACACTACGGCAGAGGAATTTAAAAACGGAGCTTTCTCTCTGAAAACACATCAAATGTTTTCCGTCCACACTACGGCAGAGGAATTTAAAAACGGAGCTTTCTCTCTGAAAACACATCAAATGTTTTCCGTCCACACTACGGCAGAGGAATTTAAAAACGGAGCTTTCTCTCTGAAAACACATCAAATGTTTTCCGTCCACACTACGGCAGAGGAATTTAAAAACGGAGCTTTCTCTCTGAAAACACATCAAATGTTTTCCGTCCACACTACGGCAGAGGAATTTAAAAACGGAGCTTTCTCTCTGAAAACACATCAAATGTTTTCCGTCCACACTACGGCAGAGGAATTTAAAAACGGAGCTTTCTCTCTGAAAACACATCAAATGTTTTCCGTCCACACTACGGCAGAGGAATTTAAAAACGGAGCTTTCTCTCTGAAAACACATCAAATGTTTTCCGTCCACACTACGGCAGAGGAATTTAAAAACGGAGCTTTCTCTCTGAAAACACATCAAATGTTTTCCGTCCACACTACGGCAGAGGAATTTAAAAACGGAGCTTTCTCTCTGAAAACACATCAAATGTTTTCCGTCCACACTACGGCAGAGGAATTTAAAAACGGAGCTTTCTCTCTGAAAACACATCAAATGTTTTCCGTCCACACTACGGCAGAGGAATTTAAAAACGGAGCTTTCTCTCTGAAAACACATCAAATGTTTTCCGTCCACACTACGGCAGAGGAATTTAAAAACGGAGCTTTCTCTCTGAAAACACATCAAATGTTTTCCGTCCACACTACGGCAGAGGAATTTAAAAACGGAGCTTTCTCTCTGAAAACACATCAAATGTTTTCCGTCCACACTACGGCAGAGGAATTTAAAAACGGAGCTTTCTCTCTGAAAACACATCAAATGTTTTCCGTCCACACTACGGCAGAGGAATTTAAAAACGGAGCTTTCTCTCTGAAAACACATCAAATGTTTTCCGTCCACACTACGGCAGAGGAATTTAAAAACGGAGCTTTCTCTCTGAAAACACATCAAATGTTTTCCGTCCACACTACGGCAGAGGAATTTAAAAACGGAGCTTTCTCTCTGAAAACACATCAAATGTTTTCCGTCCACACTACGGCAGAGGAATTTAAAAACGGAGCTTTCTCTCTGAAAACACATCAAATGTTTTCCGTCCACACTACGGCAGAGGAATTTAAAAACGGAGCTTTCTCTCTGAAAACACATCAAATTTTTTCCGTCCACACTACGGCAGAGGAATTTAAAAACGGAGCTTTCTCTCTGAAAACACATCAAATTTTTTCCGTCCACACTACGGCAGAGGAATTTTAAAACGGAGCTTTCTCTCTGAAAACACATCAAATTTTTCCGTCCACACTAAGCCGGTGGAATTTAAAAACGCAACAGTCACCGGTCATTTTGGATTTGTGTTTTGGGAAAACTCGGGCAGGAAAATCACGTGATTATCGTGACGCCATCGGTTTCGAAAAGCTTCGCTTTCAAATATTTTCCGTCCACGTTACATGAAAAACGAAAAACCGCCATTTTCAAATTTCTTCGGTTTGAAGAGCATTTTCGAAAAGTCGCTAGCTGTTGGACTGAAACTAGCGTGCAACTGAGGCTAATGCGAGAGTCTTTTCAAATGCAAATGACTATAGCTAATCGCTTTTTAATGATATTCCCCCGCACAAGCCTCCATTTCAAGCTAGTTCCAGTCCAATACCGAGAATACGAATATGGCGTATTGACGTTTATCACACTGACCTTCTCGAGGCGAGATTTCTTTAATCCTGATCATGTAAACTCGAGGTCCTTTGGTCATAATCTTAGGGTGTATTTGGCATTGAAATTCCAATCCGCGGTCAGCCTGTGTGACGTTCGACAGAATAATTGACACCCCGTCTGTCCTCAGTCTTGCTAGGTACTCTGGACAGGAGCTGATGCAATTTTCCACCAACCTGCATGGCGAGGAGGGACTGCAGTATGCTATTTTCACTTTCGTTCCATCTTGTGAGACTCTGTACCACTCAATATCCTCCACTTTTTCCTTAGAAAACATACCCTGGAATGTTTGTCCCAGGTCAAGGTTTTGCCCAGCTGTGGAGGACAGACCTAAAATAAAATACGGAGAAAATAACAAAATAAAATAATAAATTGCACCATCTTCCCATACGTAACTAGACTCTAACTACTCTTCACTTTGTCGACCAGTTTCATCTTCAGAGATCGACTATCTTTAATCATGTCATTTCTTTCTCAGTGGTAAATTTACTTTATAACTTTTCGCTTTCAAGCAGGTTGCTAAATGGTCCTAAATATAAATGCTAGATATGATTTTAGACCGATTCCGCACTTGTCAAGTATAGAATCGCTGCCATGTGTTTTCCACTATTTATTGACATTTCAGTTACAGAACTCAGTTTTCTCCGCGGTACAGTTGATCGCCAAATCAACCTTAAATTTGATCATTAGTTAAGTCAAAAATCAAACTATCAAGGTTTTGCTGTACTTTGAAGAGTAGAATTAACAACTAACTCTTCCTGTAAAAAAAAAAATTTCCGACATTGTAGATCATTGTAGCCAAGCCGTCGCAGTATAAATAAGTCTAGCCATGATTTCCACTTACAATGCTTTGATGAAGTGACGATTATTTTGCGAACAACGGGGCCTCTGTTTCCGCTGCGTTCTATGGCACAAGTATAGTCAAGTCGATCGTTCAGCTTAATCTGTTTCACAAGAAGTGTTCCACGCACAGGATTGCTCACTTTGATTCTTTGATCAAAGCTTCCTATGTCTCTGTATCTGGTACACTGCAAGCTTTTGTTGCAGTAGACGACATATTGCTTCTTGAGATCTTCGGGGTCAGTGACCCTCCATTGAAGCTCCAGAAAAGTTCCATTTTGGAGGACCAATTCCAGGTCGGGACATTCCAGTGCGAACTGCTCGTTAGGGCATTCTGGTCGCTTATTGTCAGCTTGAACACCTGATGAGAGAGAAACGATTTAAATATGCATTTTAACAAACTTGTTGCAATGCCTGCAAAAATAGAGATTCTTCCAGATTTGGGGTTCTTTATTAATCAGAATACCTTGCCGATGATCATCGGCGAGATTTCGGGTCCTTTACTATACAAAGCGGTTATGTATAACCGGCGACGTTTATGTAATATCCCATAGTTATTAATAGCGCAATTTTCACACATTTGACAACACAGCGTAAATTTCGTCGTTCTGTACAATGCAACAGTCAATATGTGTCAGAGACGATATTTACATCCGAGACGCCTGCACTTCTAGTCTACATACGCGGCAAAAATAGTCTTATCTGTTATCGAAGCTCGAAGCGAATCTAGGTTTTGTATTCCTGAGCATGTTTCGGCTTCAATTTTGTCTCTAGTCAAAGACAGACTGACACATTCAAATATTTGAATTTTTCGGCTGTCCATTGACCCGGTAGTTTGTAATTGATTTCCGGAACGTATCACAGTTTCGCCAGCATCGCATGGCACGATATTTTAACTTTAGTACTTGTGTTTGTACGTGCCGCTGAATTTTTAACCATGAAACGTTTGATTTAATCGGAGCGGCTGACACTAATATGAAAAAAAATCACGGTTACTTTCGTAAATAAACTTACCCGCATACACAGCCACGCACAGACTGTAAATTAATAGAAACTTTCCGATGAAAAGTCTTTGTAAGACATTTATCTCGCTGTAAAAAGCCATAACTTGCTCTCAGACTTGCTTTCCGTACCAAGGTCGTGTCTAACGTGCGCTTCACTGGAAAGCGTACGGCTTTGTTGTTACATTTTTATACCCCTTGCTCACGTCTATATTTAGTTATTGCTTACTCAGGTCTACTCAGCGAAAATTAATTAAGATGATTTTAAAATAAGTAATCGAGTTTTGAAACAATAGGTCATTGACAGCCACGAGAAAATTAAATAATGTTTCTCTGTTTGTATTTGTAAACTGTCACCGGATTCCGTATTGAAATAACAAAATAATTGAAGCTGGAATTAACAGCCTTGATTGAGTTATTTAGAAAACAGCTATTTTTAAAGGAAGTGGCCGAGTGTCAATTATTTGCGCGCTTGGTTGCGCCCGAAAAAACTTTAATTAAAACACAGGTGTTGTGTTGTGTTGTTGGTTGACGTTAATTTGTTTATTGTATGACAAGCTTTTATAAACTCATTATCCAACAAGCGAATAAAGTTAAGTAGAATTCTTGATCTCCGACCGACCCCTGAACTGCTTCAATGAGGCAAATGTGAACTGCTGGCCTGCATTTTGACTTTATGCTCTCCAGATCCTGTTACTAGTAATGCACGGGATGTTTTGATAATAATACCCTCATTTCCTAATTCTACATGTATCTAACAAGGGCTGTTTACATGTGTAAATCATTCACACGAGACTGTCGTTACGGTCAAAACACTTGTATTTAGAGATCTTTAACGCGGAAAAGATTTCTCCCTCAAAATTTTTCCTTCATATAATTACGGCGCTTGTTTGAAGTTCAATAGTCGTCTGATACTAATATTCCAGAAGGGAAAATAACCTTTTCTGTACAAGCCAGAGTTAACATCATAAACAGAAATACGCAGTATGAGATTTTGCTAGTTTAGAAACTGCTTTCATTGCACATTCCTTATTTGCATGCTTCCTTAACAAACAACGTGCATGGGGCATTTTCTATTTGTTTGACAAGTTCCTTTATACAATCAGTTTAGTTTAATTTCAATTAAGTTTAATGGTTCGAGTGTCAATTTCGTGCGCGCTTGGTTGCGCCCGAAAAAACGTTAATTATAAAATACAGGTGTTGAGTAAAAGAAAATGCGTTGACGTTAATTTGTTTATTGTGTGACAAGCTTTTATAAACACATTTTCAACAAGCGTATAAATTTAAGAAGAATTCTTCATCTCCGACCGACCCCTGAGCTACTTCAATGAGGCAAATGTGAACTGCTGGCCTGCATTTTGAACTACTTTATGCTTCTCAGATCCTGTTACTAGTGATGCACGGGGATGCTTTGATAATAATACCCTCATTTCCTTACTCTACATGTATCTAACAAGGGTCCGTGGGTCATTCGTCCATTCAATTTTCGTTTAAAATCAAAAATTGAAAATTGATTTCAATTTTTGATTTTCATGATTTTTTTATCATAAAAAGTTGGAAAGTGCCAAATAGAAAATATTTGACTTTTTTTCTTTCGGTAGAACATTGAAGCAGAACTTATATTTTGACTTTAATCCTGTCAAATTTGAAGAGAATAAAACTGAGCGGCTATTTTGTTTCTCCGACAATGTTGCAGTCTGTGGCATGGCTTAGTTTTTCTGTTTTCGACGGAAGTCTAAAAATTGAAAAT